GGCTGAACGGATGAAGACGTCAAAGTCACCCAGAATCGGAAAGGCAAGATACGCCTTCATCAAACTGAAACCAGTTCAGAAATCTTCTGCACTCAGCCAGAATAAAGAACAACATTCGGATTTTCAACACAAATATGAAGTCACCCAGTCATTTCTTCCATATGGGTCAGAAACTTGGCCAGAGTGTCACGAAAAGCATTTCCGACAGGTTGCTGATATTTATCAACAGCTACCCATTTCGCTGGCTTCATACTGAAGATCAAATGGCCAGCCGGTCACAAAGAATTGGCAACAAGAAACTATGGCTAGGAACAAACCAACAGGCGAGAGACAATTCTCAACAACTATGTAGGAGAAAATGGAGATGGATCGGGCATACATTTAGGAGACCATCGAATGACATCGCTAGCCAGACCAGCGATCGAGTGGAATCCAAATGGGAAGCAAAGAGTAGGTAGTTGGTGTGAGGGTGACACGGAGGAGATTATGTAGTGAGGAGGAGATAAGAGATTATGGGCAATCGTAGAACTAGCTGTAGAGGACGGCAGAAAACAGAACAAAGTGGAGCTGTGTTGTTGAAACCCTATGTTCCACTCAGAACCCAAGGGAACAATAATAATAATAAGACAAGAATATATGACCAAACAGTTCAGCAAAAAGCCTCTTTTCGGCGAATTTATTCACTCATCTGTATAATCGCAACTGTGTGTGTACATCAGGATCTTCAAACAAAAATAAAAATTAGTTAGGGTTATTGTTTACGTCATCTAAATGTTTCACAAATGTGGTGAATAATCAAATCTTTGTTAAATTGTAACTTGGGGGGTGGTGAAGATTTGTAAGTATTGAGAAGGGCTGCGTAATTTGTAAGACATCCGGAAAAATAGGATGTTAATGAATTATGTAATAGGCAGAAAGAGTAAATAAAGGGTTGGTTAAGAAAAAAATGTTACTAAAAAGTCATACAAAAATTCAAAGAAAGCCTTATTAAAAAAGTAGTGGAACTTGGAATTATACCTACGGTAGAAGGAGGGGGTGGAGAAGTTTTTTCTGTGTACACAAATCAGGGTTTCCCATTCGGATCGCTAAGACTTCAGCAATGCAAAGTATGCGGAAGCATACCGTTTAAGGGAGGCTTCTTTTGACTTTCTAGATGACTTTAAATAAATTCTTCTTACATACTGAGTGACCATTGTTGAATATATTGTCAATTGCAACACTCCTTATTGATCCATTGTTGCCTTTTCGTAGTCAAGCGGGGATACTGTTCTTTGACTCTTTCAGATAAAACACGCATCGAATGACCTGTATATCTCGCTCCAGATGAGGAAGTGTGGCTTAATTTGCTGTCATTTGACAGCTGATAACTGAATAAAATAAAATTATATCTATCTATCTATCTATCTTTCAACAATATCTACGAGAGAGAGAAAGAAAAACTGACAGGATGAAGCATTAAAATGTGAGGAAAAAGAAAACAAATCAAGGTTTAATGAGAATAATTACAGGAGTGAGAACTTCGCCACTATTCCATCACTTGTATACATACACATACACAAACAAAATATTTTTAACTTGAAATGAACAGAAGAAATTCGCTTCTTGAAGTGATATGTTGATAAAAAGAATGAATGAATTCTAGATGAAAAGAGATAAAAGTAAAGAAAAAAAACTATGAGGAATCCTATTTGGTCGACAAAAGCATTTTTTTCTAGATAAGAGTTTTGAGGAAATATAATCATAAGATAAGACTTTAAGTGAATGTAGAGGAGGAGGCCAAGCATCGATCGCCATCAATAAGAGCAGTGTAAATGAAATCATCTCCTTCACTTACATGGCTAGCCAACTGCGTTCCAGCTACAAGTGGCACGGATAAGGGTATTGAAATCAGGCCCGGAAAAGCAATGCAGACCATCATTATTTTTTAAATATTTTTGATTATAGCTTGATTCCACACAGTACTTTTGGCACAAGTATGGAATTTTCAGCGTATGATATCGGTAGCCCGAATTTTGCAGGCCGACCAATGATATCAGGTGTGCGTCGGCCGGGCCCACGTGCATGGTCGGCGAGAGTACTAACCACTAAGCCACCGACGCGAAAATCTACTACAGCCAGTATAAAGAATAAGATCCGGATCTTTAACCCTGACGTCAAATTATTGCCACTTTACGTTTGAAAAACTTGCCGCACTGGTTACCAAAAGCATTTCTAACAGGTCGCTGGAGACTTCCACCAACAGCTGCCTTCGCTGCCTTCATACTGGAGATCATATATAGTCAGAAACGATTAGAAACAAGGAACTCTGAGAAAGAATCGATCAAGAATCTGTTGGCCAACAAATATGCAGAAGGAAGTCGGGATGTATTGCATTTCTAACTGAAGAAACCGTTGAGTAAAATAATGCATCAGGCAGTCGAGAGGAACCTTAGTAGGAAACGACGTGTTATGTGTGTGTGTGTGGGTCTGAGGTTCACAGTGGAGGAGGTCATCTATACGGAAAATGAGGACTGTAGAGATGTGCTCTTGAAGACCTATAATGCAGTGGTAACCGAAGGGAATAATAACAATAGTCATAAGCAGACAATATTAGGAAAATCATCGGAGAATAAGAAACACCATCTATCTTTATCATCCTAGTTTGAGATATGAGGGAAAATGGTGAAATCGAGAAGAGAATGAGTAGGTCTACCATTGGTCAGGTCATCACTCAACCATTCGTTTTAATTCTTTGCATTCCCAGTGGAACAAGCTAGAGGCTTGAAGTTTCCACAGCAGTGATGTTTATTTTTGGCTAACCTCATGCCTAACCTTCCCTCTTTACCAGTCTTATCACTCAACCACTTAGTCCATATAAATATTCAATGGCTTGTTCTTCTCAGACTGCACCAAGCTGTTACTGAATTTCATCCTTAAAACTTTCCTCACACCTTTCCCCTTAGGAATCAGCATTATGTTAGAAATGGGTGGAAAAGTTCGGGTGGTGGAACAGTTATTAATGGATGACATCAGATGATAATCATCTTAGTTGAGAAACTGATAACACCAGATCACGTCTAAGTGGTAAATTTCAAATCGTTCAGTCTGAATGCTCCTTGGCTTTATCCACCATTGGATATTGGATAGGTTTTGACGATGAATCATGTGCAGGATTATTGCTTGTAATGCCGAAAGATGACAAAATCTATCTCGAAAATGTTGTGCAATTTATTCAGAGAAGTCGTCAAGACTTACAAACTAGCAATTTGATGATCTCTGATCCAGGACTCTACTGAATGTGACACAAAACCCAAGGTATCACTAGATCCCAGTCTTGCAGCTTTTTTTTCTAATTGTAGTGGACATATAACTGTTGTCTTGCTCCTGAATTACGCTACTACTCTTTTCTTCTTGCCCCTCCCTCAAAAAAGCTGAATTACAGACAAATAAAGCACATTTAGCTGATTAATAATCAAGCGATATTTCTATGGTTGTATGCTTCAAATTTTTATATATTGTGAGATGACTAACACAGACGCGAAAGGAAACAGGGACCATGTTGATGTACTGGCTATCAGAACTGCTTCTTCAAAAATGCCTTATTATTATTATTGTTATTGTTCCCTTGGGTTCCTAGTGGAACATAGGGCTTCAACTACACGTTTCCACTTGCGCCTGTCTTCTGCTATACTTTTCACTTGCATCCATGTTAGTCCATACTGTTTCAAATCCTCTTTACATGATCTCCTTCATGTCACCCTTGGACGCCCTACTCGCCGCTTCCCTTTCGGGTTCCACTCGAGCTATGGCCTGATGCGCGATGTCACTCAACGGCCTCCTCAGCGAGTGTCCAATCCATCTCCACTTTCTCCTGCATATTTGTTGAGCGATTGGTTCTTGTTTTGTTTGTTTGTTCCCATAGTTTCTTGTTGGTGATTCTTTCCGGTGGCCATCTGATCTTCAGTATAGAGCCAGCGAAGACAGTTGTTGATAAATATCTGCAACAGGCTGTTGGAAATATTCTTTGTGACCCACCAGGTTTCTGATCCGTACGTATAGAAGAACTGACTGACTTGACGTTTGTATTGAAAATCCGAATCACTTTGTTGTTGATGGTGAGTGATGGGGATTTCCAGATTGGTTTCAGGTTGATGAATGTGTTTCTCGCCTTCCGATTCTCGATTTGACATCCTCATCCGTTCCTCCTGTAGTTGAGACAATGCTCCCTAGATAAGTGAATGAAGTAACCTCTTTCAAATCCCTCCCGTTGATGGTGATTGGCACTGGATGTTGCTGCTGTTGTTGTTGTTGTTGTTGGTTGGTTATTTTCATGAACTCCGTCTTGTCTTTGTTAACCTGGAGTCCTGTCTTTGCTGCCAGCCTCTTCGACCAGTTTGTCGGTTTTCGCTTGTAAGTCTTCGATTTTGTGTGACATCAAACATAAATCGTCCGTGAAATCCAGGTCTTCTAGGTTCTTCACGTCGGTCCAGGATATCGCTGTCTTCTCGTTTCCCACTGTCTGACGCATAATCCAGTCCATCACAATTAGGAATATCATTGGTGATAATAAGCACCCTTGTCTGACTCCTGTGCCTTAACATTAGGCAATTTTGAAGATGTTAGCAATAACAGTGAAATGGAAGATATATATTTCTTCCCATTTGCTAATTGCCAGCTGTATGAATGTGTATCTCTTAAAGAGTAAATGGGATTCTCACTGAGACTCGGACCCAGAATCAACTGTTTCAAAATACAAGGCGTTATTTAATAGACCACTGAGCAATCATTGGTCCATTATTCATATCAAATGACTATTGATTTTATCATGTTTAAGATAGAAGTATTGATAAACGAATTCAGTATCTGTTTTGTTTCCTATCCACAGAAAGTTAAGACAATAGTAATCAGCTCTTTTTTTCATTTAATAAACGGACACGTTCAGGATTTTGGTGTATTGCTTCTTAGCATTTTTTCCCTCCTATTGTGATTAATTTTCTTATGCTTCATTTCTTTCCTTTCAGACTGTATTTCCGGCATCTCAACCAGAAAGATTAATTGATTTGAAATCCACTGTTGATTTGCTCACAAGTATCACATTTTTCAGACTTAAAGTAAGCTGATGTTGTTTTTAAGAAAAATGTAACCTGTCATCATTAATTTTATTTAAACTGTAGAAAATATTCTTCTGTTTTTTAATAACAGAATGACTAGTTAGAAAATTATGTGCAGTGGATGTGTTGCGTTTGCTACTGATAAGATTTACCAGTAGTATATAAGGACAAGTTAGTCAGGATAAAAATATCAAATAGCAGGGAGACAGATTTGGTGTCGGAGAAAGTAAATGATTCAGCGTTGCAGAGATACATGGGAAATGTGAATGGAACACAAATAAACGCAACATGAAGGTCAGAAGTTGAACTACACAGAAGATCTGTGCAAATAGTGATTTGAAAATAAGGTGTTCATAATTTTGCCACACAGCTAGAAGTGCCTCAGGTGGAAACCGGGCCCGGATCACGTATTTTACTCTCAAGCCTTCTACCAATGAACCACTGACTATTCAGCATTACGACTCATAACCCTACTGGGGATCAGACTCAGGGAATTCAGGTTACAAGGGAAGCCTGTTGATCATTTAGCCACTGAGACATACAAGTGCATGCTTAAACTTATGTACTTGACTTCAAATTGAAGTATGCGCTGAAGATGTCACCTAGTAGGGTGATGAAAGCTTCGCGAATTAACTATCCAGCTCAGAGAACACAACCACATCAAAATCATCCACCTGAGCTACAAATCTTTTCAATCATATCTAAACTTATGCACAAAAAGCAGTTGGAATTTCGGCTTCACAATCTTTGAGTGTATCACTTAGGAGGAGACTATGTTTCTCATTTCCTAATTAAAATGTTAAAAAAGGACCATAATACCTGTTAATTATTTCTGAAGAATACGTCAGTATATTGACCTTCTTCAGTGACACTTGTAATTCTCAGAGATCACTGTTAAAATATTCAGATCTCTAAGAATATTCACCGCTGTCTAACCCCCACGGTCTCCCTTCCCCATACTATGTAGACCAAAAACCCAGCGGCCATAAAAGTCAACGTCATCTATAAAATAGTTTGCACGAAGTGCCAAAACTGCTATACTGGCCTAATTGGACGTCCTTTTCATCTTCGAATCCATGAACACAGTCAGACGACAACTGTGAACATCAATTGAACTGAAATAGCATAAAAATTTGTAGAGGAAGCAAAATGAATATTGGAAAATTCCTAGAAGCCTAGCGCTTAAATAAATTATGTTCAACAGACAGCTGAATAAAGATAAAAATGATTACATAGATGAACTTTTTGATACTCTCTTCAGTTTGATTCTGTTATTGTTTCCTTGATAATAACTAGTTAGTAAACTCACTCCTTATGTTTCGCCTAAAAGCAACCATTTGATTTCACTCTATAAAACAGATAGCAATGAATCATCGATAGAAAAAGCACATAAGATACATGTTGTACAAATGTCAGCTTTCATGATCTAGTAAAACCTAATGAACAACTCCTTGATTTCTGAAAGCACTGGCTATTTAGTTTGAACATTAGTTCAAACTGCTTTTCTTGAACTGCAAATTACCTAGTGGACAATTTCAAATAAAAAGAAATGTTTGTGACTCTTCATCAGTACACACCCACCAACAGAAGTTCGAACCCTGGACCTTCTAGTTACAAAGCTAGTGAGCTCGTGGACCACTCACTAGCCACTGCGACCCGACCCAATGGCCAGCCCATGAATTCCAACTTCTGTCAATTCACGACATAGCGCAACCACTTCGTAATGTCACCTTTGATAAATTACCGCCTCACCTTCAACCTGCTGTACCCTAACGGTTACGGCTTATCAGCTCCCAGTGACTTAATGGTCTACAAGGGTCCTGCCAGTGGGTGCGTACTGATGAAGATTCCGAAACTAGGCTGACGTAACAGCTTACTGTCTAGTACTCCGTGCAGGTTTTCCAATGATTCTATAACTGATGTCAGTTCATAATGAAATCCTCCAACCAATCAAACAAAATCCCTACAAACCAATACTTGAAATAGGAAATGTGTTTATCCAGAATCACACTTTCCATAACAATGAAGCAAAAAATCCAAATTTTTATGTTAGCCACTTTAGAAATGATAGTAACAAATTGAGAAAACCAGTACACGTATTTCAAGGGCTAGTCTCCATTTTCAAAAACGCTCCCAAATGATAGAAGAATGCGTGAAACGAGTTTTGGTATCTATGACCATGGGGTTTCGAGCTTGTCTAGGCCTAATAGCGCCCTTGCTACGCTGTCCTGCTTATAACCCTAAAATCCTACAGTAAACACAGCATAAGCTATATAGACGATATGAGCGTGAGTTATCTGGTGCTCATGGCTCGCTTTTATGACTGTGTATGGTTTTCTATAGTCTAGGCAGATGTATAGAAGCTATTTGCATGCTAAAGTGGTTGGCAGGGATAACGATTTCATTGAATTTGATGGCTGCTGGCTTCATTTTTAGGGGCCTATTGTCACTATACCTTTGCTATGCGTGCTACTTTTGCATATAATGATACGTTTGGCTAGTCTTATATGTGAGATGAGTTCTATTGGGCTTGTCTATGCAGTGCATAATTGATTGATGCGATCAATGATCGGCGTAAGAATGCCTACCTATCATTAATATACTAACGGTGCGAATTGTTATACCTTGTTTTCTTTAGCGCTCTCCCCTAGTATGTCTTCTTTTCATGCTTATGTGTGGAAAGAAGATAGTCCAATTCGCCTTACTGACAAAGAGTGTGACAACTTAGACCAACATACATTTCCTAAGGAATCTAAACTGTTAACCAAGATTTCCGGATGTATGTTACATAAATGCTTTCTTCTTCTAGTACTGCTGGATGTCTAAAGCATCTACTCATTCGTATGTTTCTCCCATTTTACTTTCCTGACGGCATGAATTCGAAGAAGAAGATTTAATTTTGCCTAAACATGTTCTTCTTCCTCTTCCCCTATGTTTGTACTTTCCCCTGAACTGATTTGTGAATTGAGCTGAGTGAAAGCATTCCACTCAAAACAAGTTCTCCTATTCATATCCTCATTATTCCAGTTCAACTGCTAATTTTAATTAGGCCGGTGGGTTTTAAGTCATAAACCCAAACGTTATTTCTATTAAACTGTTAGTCAACAGGTTACTAGCAGAAAATATGCCTATGTGATAAGTCGTATAATACAGCCACTGTCATTTAGTTTATTTTTCATTTTCTATGAGTTATTTAGCCTAGAATTTGAACGATTTCTAATGGGACATAATATTAGAGCTAAGTGTCTTGATAATTCATAAGTAGGGGTATTTCTGAAATCTACTAATGACCGACCAATAGTAGATGACATTCAACTAGAGAATGATGAAACAATGGTTAGTTTTGATATAACTAGTATTTATACTAATATACCAATCAATGTGGCATTAACAGCAGTTAAAAAAGGACTAACTGCAGATCTTGAACTCACTCATAGGACGAAGCTACCCATTGAGGAAATTATTTTAGGAATTCAGTTATGCCTCACATCTACTATCTTTAAATTACAAGGCAAAATATGTAGACAAACTGAAGGTGTAGCAACGGCGGGGATCACCAATATCCCCTATCATAGCAGATATATTTATGGACAGCTGGGAGAATATGGCTCTTAATACATTTAATCCTCCTACAAAAATATGGTGGAGATATGTGGATGACACCTTCACAGTGTTAAAAACAGAACTTTTCTCTGTCTAGCTTCTTGAAACATATAAACTCACTAGTAGAGGAAATAAAATTCACATTTGAATCGGAAAATGAACAAGGAGAAATAGCTAATTTAGATTGTAAAATAAAACGAATAGAAGAAGGCAAACTACACACTAGTGTTTATAGAAAACCAACGCATTCTAATAGATATTTAAACTTTAATTCACCTCATCCTTTAACTGTTAAGGCAGGCTTAGTTAAGTGTTTAACAGACCGAGCAATGGCACTAAGTAGTACAAGAAAAAACCTAAATGACAAAATAAAACAGAAAGGAGAAGCGTTGGTATCAGACAACCATCCTATAAAATTCATTAGGAAGATCTAAAAAGATCAAAAGCAAATTAGAAATAATTGTGAAACTACTAATGATAACATAAGAGACAATATAAGGCATATACAGTTTTACCATATGAGGGGGGGCATCTGAGACCCCACGTAGGATTCTTAATAAAGCAGGAATTAGGGTGACATTCAAATATACAAACTCACTCAGAGACAAGCTCTGTAGGCTAAACGACCCGATGGACCCAATTTAACAAAATAATATAATTTACAAAATACTTTGCAATGACTGTGAGTTAGGTCAACTTTATAGGTCAAACTAGTAGGTCGAGGGTAGTCAGATTGTCGGAACTTAAGACATTAGCAAAATTAAGATTGGTTGATCTCGCGAAGTTAAGTAATTTAGAAAGATTTAAAACAGTTAGTCCCTTTTATAAATTTTGATAGCATTATTAGAAGACGGAGATTATCTGAAAAATGTGATGTATTTGCGCTATACATTCCGAACAATCTGATCACACATTTAATTGTCAAGTCGATATATATATGAAAATGTTCAATTAAACAAAGTGACAAAAGAAAGAATTAAGAATAATTAACATAAACTTTTGGTAATCCAATCAAATAAATAAATACTCTGAGGCTATAGCTATTCACAAACTTAAGCCCCCCTTGTGTATTCAAAAACATTTTGTTATTACCCTTAACCTACCTTGTTAATCCTTATTTGATTGGATTACCAAACGTTTGTGTTAATTATTCTTAATTCTTTTTTTTGTCACTTTGTTTAATTTAACTTTTCCATATATATTGACTTGACAAGTAAATGTGTGATCAGATTGTTCGAAATGTAAAGAGCAAATACATCACATTACTTTTCAGATAATCTCCGTCTTCTAATAACACTATCAAAATTCAGAGAGAAACTCAGCAATAGCACTGCATGCATTAATACACAACCACACAATAGGGTGGGTGGGATAGGGTCAAAATTCTAAGAAGTAATACAGGTAGGTGAATGGAGAGAGAGGTTGATTACTGAGTCCTGGTTCATCGAGTCTACACCCAACACGTGCAATAGGATCCAATGACTCATCACGCATACCGGAAATATGGAAAATACTACTACCAATCAAGTCAAGCGATGAAAAATAATGGAATTATATAGACGAAGTTTTGATGTTGTTGTGTCCTCTGAGCTGGAGAGTTAATTTGCGAAGCTTTCATCACCCTACTGGGTGACATCTTCAGCGCATACTTGAATTTGAAGTGAGCTTTTAGATTTCCCCACGAGTTTATTAATCATCTTTCCAGGTGACCTTGAACCTGATTGGTTGTTTTTGTGTTTTCACACCTTCTAGGTTATTTGTATTGTAATTCATTGTTTCTTTGACTTGAACTTTGACCCTTTGTGTGTGAGGTTTCTTTCTTATCGGTTGATATATATATATATATATCTAACTGATGTCAGCTCATGATGAAATCCTCCATGCAATCTATCTCGATGTGTCTATTGATTGATGATTCACTGGAATGCCAAGCTTCTAAAAAGCTTCGCAAATTAACTCTCCAGCTCAGAGAACACAACAACATCAAAATTATCCACCTGAGCTAGAAATCTTCTCTATCATATAGACGAAGTTAGAAAGTTGTGTGAGTAGTGTCTTGATATGATTATGAGGTGCAGTAATAAATTGTGCTTGAAACGTGGTCATCAGTAAATATTACTGTGGACTTTATCAAAATAAATTTTACCCATAATGGAATCCGTTATGATATTTCTTCTTTGTCTCCGAGAAATGCAATACATTGATGAGGATTTCCAGTAGCCCAAGTTTTAAAGAGCCTTATTTATATTGCCTTATGAAACGTTTATCTGCGACCAGAGAAGGGGCGACACATCCATCCCATTTCTTAAGTTATCAAACAAATGATCCATTCGCATGATAAGCTTCTAGCCTTGCTGTCAAATCAGCATCTTACTAATAATTGTTATTTTTTTCTCAAACTGTTCAACAGGTTCAAGAACTCAGCTCTCCACCGAGGACAGGTCAAATATTACGTGAATGTATTGAAGCTTGTATACAATCCACCTATCAGTGCCTCTGTGAAAATGTACACGATTTATACGGAAAGAGTTTACAGGTCAGTTTACCACTGTACTGCTGAACATTTTGTCTTATTTTTTTTTCCTATCAAACGTCGAATTCAACTGATTCCATCACATTTTAAAGTAATTTTTCTCACAAATTAATGCCAGATAGAGAGAAAGTAAAATTCACTAGATTGCCTCTTTTAAAAATGTATTAGGTTTCAACTATGATGTAGTTGCATTTTTGATGAAAAGAAGCCACTTTAAAATCGATTTACGCCTAACACTATCCCTTCAACGCCTAATTTGTATTGCAGATTCAAGTTTAACCATAATAAATGTATGTATTGACTTGATCAGTTCAAAATGACTATTTATGAAGACAAAGGATGTGAATGTCGACTTGTTTAGGACTCATCAACTGAATGTATGTTAATCCTCAGGAAGTGATAGTGAGTCTTCACTGCAGACATATTGAATAAATGCACAGTTTATGGCTGATGAGAATTCCTACAACACATAGTTGGTCCCGGCAACGAACATACCAAGATGGTGACAAGAAAGAGATCATCTGAAGAAGATGAAGAAGAACCGAAAGCCTGTAGGCCATCGTGCTACAGAAGCCCTGTATTTCATTAGGAATCCAAGAGGTGAATAGTAGTGTAATATAATGTACAGAAGAACTATAACACTTAGATTATTTTTCCTACTGGTCTACTGAGCATTAAGCACAGTGCGCCGAGTGCCTCGTCAAACTCCTTAAACATCTGATGACAATCTGTGAGATTATTATGCAATGGCTACTTGATTTTTATTCCTTTGCGTTTCAAGTGGAACATAGAACTTCAAACTTTAGCTTGAAGTTTCAGTAGCAGTGGTATTTTTTTTTGTAGAGTGAAGTCACTACACTCACTTCCAACCTTGCCTGCTTACGAGGCCTACTGCAGTCTAAGTGGGGTTTGGGAGTGCATCGGCTGGGAATGGACTTGTAAGTATTCCACCACACAGCATAGCATAATTCATTCTTACTGGGGTTTTTCGTTGTTGTTGTTGTTGTTGTCCCCTTCACTTTGTTGACTAATTATTGGTTATTCTTAATAATAGGCAACAAACACAGAGTCCGGAGTCTCAGAATGTGGATCCGAAAATACAAGTAGTGGAGCGGGTGGTGGACAGCTGATAAACGGTGAATTGGATCAAATGGATGGCATGCGTTCACTAACCTATTGGCATCGTCTTATCACTCTCGTTGTATCTGTACTGGAAGACGATAGAAAGCATTACGCCCCAGTATTAAATCAGTAAGCCTTTTTTTCAACAAAAACTTCTATTGCTTTTGCTTTGTTTTAATACGTATGCGCTATCAGTTACAGCCTAAATCGGGGTTATTAATGAAACCCAAGGCAAAAGGATACAATCATCATTGTAATGACTTATTCTTCATCAGTTTTAGCATAATAGAAACAAATCAGCAGGAATACCTGTCTGTCATCCAAAATGTCAGCATTGCTCAGCCTCACTGAACAAATGGCACCTCTTGTTGAGTGAAAATCTCGAGACCTTCTAAAAGAACTCTCTCAAGAGAAATCCATTGTAGCTTCGAAGTTGAAAAAATGAAAATTCTGTAGTGTAAAGATAATAACGAGTTTTTGGTGAGTTGGTAGCTCAATCGTAGAATGCTCAATAATCATGTATAGGTCTGGATTCGGTTCCTGCTCAGCTCACTCCTAAATCATTTCTAGAAGGGAGAGAGACCAGAACAATTGGCATGGTTGGATGTGAGGCTAGTTGGTTTATTCTCGACAAACACAACTCTGCCGCTACCTTGAACTGTCAAAAACTTCAAGTTCTATATTCCATTCCGAAAGTAAAGAATGGAAAAATAACAGTGAGATTGAAATTAAACAACCTATTTGAATTACGTGTAATTTAGGTGAATAAGAGCAAATTTAGAATTATGACATAGTAGCAACAGCTGTGATAAGGACAGTAAGATGGTGTATGGAAAGCTTTTCATTATCTGTATGAAAAAAGCGCATTTATTTACTAAGTTCACATTGAGAATTTCATCATGAGCTGACATCGGTTACAGAACCATTGGAAAACCATCATGGAGTACTGGGGAGCTGTTTCATCAGCCTAGTTTAGGACTCCTCATCAGTACGTACTCACCTCACTGTCATGGTTCACAACCTGGACCTTCCGGTTACAAGGTGAGAGAGCTCGTATACCACTAAACCACTGGGAGTTGACCCAATGGCCAGCTCATGGATTTCAACTTCTGCCAATTTGAGATATGGAGGGGCTGGCATTAGGCAATGCCATCGGTAGCGAGTATTTGTCCTCACACCCGCACTGCTGTACCTCCTGGGTTCTAGTGGGAATTCGCGACCAGTGGGGTACACCAGGTCGGGTGTAAGAATGAATATTCGCAACCGATGACACTGTCGTTCCATATCCTGAATTGGAAGAAGTTGAAATTTATGGGCTGGCCATTGGATCCAATACCAGTGGTTTAATGGTCCATAAGTTCTCTCACTTTGTTACCGGAAGGTAGTGGTTGTGAACCCTGGCGGTGAGATGGGTACGTACTGATGAGGATTCTTAAACTAGGCTGATGGAACAGCTGTCCAGTACTCCCTGATGGTTTTCCAGGGCGTTTTTAACCAATGTCAGCTCATGATGAGATCCTGTAACCAGTCAAATCCACGTAAACCAACAAGTGAAAGTTCAATTTATAAAATTTGAGTTCACTTGGTTTTCAGAACCAATCAAACACTCTTAAGTAGTGCTCTTAGGATAAACCTTTCTAGAATAAAGTAATTATGCTCATTTAAACATCAAAACGAGTTAACTCTAAGATGGACATACCTTACTCTTTACTGACAGATGATGTTGTTTATACGATGAATAACAGAGAAACGCAGACTTTTACTTCACAAGCATAACTGAACCAAAAGTTGTGTGAACAAAGTGTATCAATATTTAGTTGAGTAAACAGTTAATAATAAGCTAATTGTTTCTATCAATGGGTTTCACGTGAATTTTAGAACTAGAAAGATTACCTTCTTCGTGATAGACACTGTTTATGATTTAGCGGGTCTAAGATGCTCGAAACACTTTTCGAGTGAAATTCTTCATTGAGAGTAATAACAGGACTGCTAGAATTACAGATTCGATGAAACACTGAATGAATTACAATCAGTTTTCTGTTCACAGAATTCATTAGTAAGCTGTCCATTCCATATGGTCCTTATAATTCTTTTTTTGATTGCACACTAGTCAGTAACTAGTGTAATGTGTGTCTAGTAATGTGTCTAGTCCTATCTTCGGTGCAGACTGAATTCTATCAGTCATGTTTGCAATGTGGCCACCATGCTAGGTGGCTCGCCATTACGGTGCACTGTGAATTGTTGGTCCTTATAATTCTTCCTGCCCTTATTCTCATTTGATGTTCCCACACCTCAAAGTATTTTATATATCCGTTATCGGCAGCATTATACTCTCACAAAGGACTATTTTTCCCACCTCAAACTATGCAGTTCTTACAAATGATGAATTTCATTTCATTTATTAGCCGCTAGCCCAACTAACTCATTCACATCTCTTAAGTGAATTGAACTCGTCTCCGAATTGTCAAACTGGCCATCCAGTGTTCAGATCACTTTGGTCTGGCTAAAGAACAACAGCATAGTTAAAGAATGCTAATCCAAGAGGAACGAATATATCAATAACTGATTAACGAGTGGTTGCTGTAGAAAGAAAATTCGGGTCCCTAACTAGCCCTAGCAAACCCTAATATATCCCTAATCAGGTTATAACCTGACGCTAACATGTCTCTAGGCTAACCCTAAGCTTTCCCTAGCTCAAACTAAAACTAAATAACCTGTTTAGTATCCCTACACAGTATCCAAGACCTATTTTCATGAATATAGTGTTATCTGGTTCGATTAACTCATTCTACAATTACGTTTCAAAGTCACTCGTGCGTTTCATGCCTTGGATTGCTGCTTATTATTTCAACCACAAGCAAGACGTGCTTGGTTTTCAGCCATTAGTATACAGCGTTAGTCTATTTTTCTTAAATGCTCTCAATTCGTCCAATTTAACAGCCTTGTGTTGAGAGGTTTCAATCGACAAATACTTTCATATAACTACTGTAGATGTTCTGATGAACTACAGAGAGTTCTACATTGCGTTCAATCAAACAAGTCAAGAATCAAGTGAATCCACTTTTGTCATTCTTTTGTATCCCGAATGGAATGTGGGGATTGGGACTTCTGGAATTACCGAAGAGATGACCTTGCTGCTACGAGCTAGGGCTTCTGGCTACATCACAGATGTTCACTCTATCCCGGGTTTACGACCACCTAGGCGAATGTGTCCACCGAGAATCAAACCAGAACCAAGTGCTTGGTCGGTTAGTGCTCTACCACTAAACCAGCGATGCACCAAAAAGTTATCCACTAGAGCTTTGAGCCAAAACATATTTTGAAGAGTTACTGAACGCTAAATTTCATAGTATTTATTCGCCTTCGTAAGCCATGAATAATAGGCAATTTAGCTAGGAAGTGATCATGGCGAGGTTAGGACGCTCGCCGACCATGTACATGGTCCGGAGTTCGATCCCCGGCCACTGACGCACTCTTTTACCTCGCTAAGCCAGAAATAATGCTGGTGAAGAGGAAAGGTTGAGCATGACGCTAGCAACCCCATCCTGTAAAATAAGCACAGCTACAGAAACTTCAAGCCACTAGCTTGAAGCCCTATGTTCCACTGGGGAACGTGAAGGAAAAAAAATAACAAATAAGAAAACCAAGGCAAAATCTGCTTGTCCATGGAAAAGACATGAAGTGTTATTTAGCTTCACGAGTGTTGGATTACAGTCAGAGTGGATGAAGGGTCCACAGGCTTTTCCTTATCACCTGAAATTCCTGTGGTTACCCACCGATGAAGAGTCCCACACTGGTGCGAAACACTTGTCCACTGTGCTTCTAGGTTTCTAATGATGTCTAAATGCCTTTGGTTCATGTGCTTTGTAAAATAACTAGTCATATATTCACTTCAGTATATATATATATCATGATCATAAACTGTTTCACTGTTGTTGTTTTTTATTTCGTTGTTTTGTTAGATTTCCTCATGAAATTAATCTAGGCGATATGTCTGCTGAAATGGTATGGAAATGTCTCTCTGAAGATCTGGCCAATGGATTAGCTCAACATACACTTGCAGCTAAGTATTACTTTAATAGTACAGAAGAAGATACACTGGACAGTTTACCACAGATGGAGAAATTACGTCAAGCAAAATTGAAAGCAATACAACAGGAAATTGGACTAAGAAGTAGAATGCCTAAGATAAAGTCATCGGATTACATGAATCTTTGTTTCCGTGTTAAATGGTTTTACAACACGTATATAGCACCATTGGCAAGATTTAAAAATGTTGTCCCCGAATATCCACGGTAAGTGGCAACACTGTTTTGGTCAGTATTACAAAAAATAAGGTATATATATAGTTCTAAAAAAATAATTCTTTAGGAGACAGGGGGAAAGGATCTCATTCACAACTGGTTTGCAATAACAATTGTGTAGCTTTCTGTAGTGAATATGTGTTCAGTTCCCTTTCTCTGAAAATAATTTGAACTCAGCAGAACATGGCAGCAAGCGAAATCAACTGCAGGCGACTAAAATTGGTGAAAATTAGCAATAGCACGTCCATTTAAAAATAAAAAGTCGTTATTACTTTTTTTATTCCCTTACGTTCCCCAGTGGAACAAAGGGCTTCAAGCCTCTGGCTTGAGGTTTCTGTAGCAGTAGTGATTATTTTTACAGGATGGGGTTACTAGCCTCATACCCAACCTTTCCTCTTTATCAGTCTTCTTTTTTCCCGGCTTAGCGAGGTAAAGGAGTGCGTCGGTGACAGGGGATCGAACTCCAGACCAAATGAGGGGTTGGCGAGCACTCTGCCGCTGTGCCGCCGGCGCACAACAAATCGTTATAAGAAATTATAATTTCAAATTTTCTGTTATTTGGTTCCATTGGATGGAAATTTCCAGTGTCTCTTGTCATGTTGGCTGTTAGTATGAATGCTTTGACAACATTTTTAGATTAATATGATGGCGTTTGTTGATGTTATCTGGTAGACGAGTAGAGTTCAGTTGACGGTGTCTGAGCAAACTCCATCTTGATTAAGACTCATTAGGCGGATTTTTTCTACATCTTCGGTGAGTGATTATTTCCCCATGAAATCTCGAAATCAGAACTCACTGCTTAAAACATTCAAGCATAATCCATTAGGCTACGATGGATCACTCTTTTGTAGTAAGTATCTGTCGTTATTTATTCTAGCTAATTAGCATTGCTTGTTGACTGATTTCAAGACTTCTCTCAGCGAAAAAACCATCACTCACTGAGGGTGCAGCTGTGTTCAGATGATGAGTCCCGAACAGGGCGAAGTGTGCAGCCCAGATTCAAATGCTAGCCACCATTAACTTGAAAAACGGTCCTTTTGCTACACATTTCTTTGATTTCGCGAATTCACTCATCACTGCTCAGTCAACTGAGCGTTGAGATCTTAAATAAATATTGGTCACATCGAGCAGCTAACCGAAGTATAAGACTGATTGGGTGTAATCCCTTTGGAGACAGCTACAGAACTCCTCAAACAACCATCTCACTGTCAACCTCGGACACACGCTCAAATTGTCGCTACCCACTCGATTGCCTTGTGAATCACTGAGGTGAAGTCTATCTGGTTTGTAGTGTGTTCGTCAGACGAAGTTCCTGTCGCTTTGCATATATCCTTGTGCTTTTACACGCCACTTCTAATCACCAAATCATTGAATGTACATAAGTTTGCGAAAAGTTTTCCATTCTCATTGATTTTGCTGAGAATCTTGTAGCCCTTGATGTGTTCCTCCTTCATTTCTTCCGTTTCCAGTTCTACATTCGTATCACCCACCAGGATTTTGATGTCACTGTTTACGGTCTTATTCAATATTGCATGCACTTGTCTGAAGAATTCTTTCTTCCCTGTTGTTGGGTTGTTTGTAGCAGTGTAACATTGGTTAATTGTAAATTTCTATCATTTTGAGTTGAATCTTGCTCTCATCCTGCAGAAGATTGGTTCCCGCCACATGAAAGCCTTGACTGTTGTTGATAACATCATGACAGCCACTCAATACCTCAGTGTGCTCGTGGTTGTCGTCTGGGTAACCGGAGTAGATTACAAACTGTTCAGTTGACAATTTTTAGACTGATTTCTCATATGTAGGAACGCTAACACCACGCCCAACCTTCCCTCTTTACATAAGCTCAGGACCAGCTAGAAAACTAGCGAACTAGTAAACTTGGTGAGGTTTTCGGAAATTCATGCTGATGACAGCTTTTGGTGACAAGTGCGTTTGCTCTTCAGATCAGCTGCACTATCCCTGGTTTCAGCAATTGCTACGCAAATTTTAATCCTCTTTGCACTGTGTCAGACACCAGAGGAAGTTGAACATCATTCATCAACCTAGTTGAGAAATGATGAAATGCTGACTTTGCAACCTAATGTCTGTAGATTGAATCGACTAGTGGGTCGTGCACATTCCTGGAATACAATGAACCAGTTATCCACCAATTCTTCAGTAAATACTGATCTGTAACAAAAGCTATCTTGGAGTCTTGAGAATGTTTAAACATCTTTTCCCAAATTACATGAGAGGGAAAGTTAAAAAATAATACACACAGCATATTCAATACCTTTCCGAAATCTCTAATATTTACTTTCACATTGAATTATACACGTTAGAATCTCCAAAGGAACATTAATTTCTGAGAAATAAGACCTTCTGGTTACAAGGTGAGATGTCATGGGTCATTAAACCACTGGTAGTCGATGCAATGACCAGCCCATGAATTCTAACTTCTGCCTATTCGTGATTTATATTTTAGCTCAATCGCTAGCCAGTGTCACAGACGAAACGGCTGTCCAGTACTCCCAGACTTTTCAAGAGTTCTCTAACTGATGTTAGCTCGGTTTTTTGAAAAATTTTCCATAAACTTATTAAAATAACCAACACAAACTGTAGAGTTTACACAGAGTTATTTCTTTTCGTATTTTAAATCATCCTACCTTTCTTATTTATTTATTTTTTTCATTTTTCACCTTCAGCTGGTTCGAAGGTCTTGTATTAATTTGGTTGTCTGAAAATGATGAAGTCTCTGCAAATTATCTAAGAAATGCCTATGATCGGGATAAACAAGACGGTTTCCAATGTTCCAGTGAACATGTATTATATTCAAATTCTGTTGTCGATGTATTCACTCAGCTGAATCAATGCTTTGATGTGATTCGTAAACTGGAATGTCCAGACAAAGAAGTAGAAGGACACTTTTTGCATAGGTTCTCATTAGTAAGTATTGAATATTTTGATGTATATATATATATATGCATGTTACTGTGTGTGTGCGTGTGTATTTGTGATTCTGATGGAAACAGGAAATTTGGAAGAGGTATTCGAATCCGCAAAAATGTTGAATCATTAACAAGTCATATATCCTCTCTATCTGTCTGTCTGTCTGTCTGTCTGGATGCAACATAGAACTTGGCACCGAAGTGCAGCAGTTCGAGCTGCTACCTTCCAAATAGCACACAAAGGTAGACAAAAAGATGAGTGAAGGGAATCAATAGAGTTTTGACAAGTATAAGAGTGAAACAGAATGAGTAATGGTAGAAAGGAATATGAAAGATTACAGAGACTGAATACATCTGCGTGAGCCATTGACAACGATTTTGAGCCATGTCGCCTATTGTCTCCAGCCATTGATTCTTAGAGTCTCGAGAGCCCTTTAACCTGGAAGTCTGCATCTCCCTACCTGACTCAGTTTAACTGTCAAGGATTTCATGGATTGATGAGGCCATGTTTTTGTTTGACCACCACTTACTCTTTTCCAACCTGCACCTATATCAGCTAGTAATGCCCGTCCGTCGGGGGAGGCGATGGTTAGGCATGCGCAGCACGTGACCTAGCCATCTCAATCTATGTAACTTCATAGCCTCGTCTATTGATTTTCCCTCTTTGCCCAACACTACGCCTAACGTCAACATTACCTACCTTATTATGCCACCTAACGTGAGAAAGAGATCGCAGACATCTATGATCAAAAACAGTCAACCTTTTCATGTCTTCAACTCGTACTGGCCATGTTTCAGAGCCATAGAGAAGGATGGAGCGAACTGCTGAGCAGTACACACGTCCCTTGGTTGATAGCCGGATGTCACGCCTACGCCAGAGATGGCGTAAGTTAGAGAAAGCAGCTCGAGCTTTTTGGATCCGTGTTGAGATTTCGTCGCCAATCAGTCCGTTGGTGCTGATACAACTTCCCAAATAGGTGAAGCGGTCAACAGTTTCTATCACTTCACTCCCTATCACTAAGCTAGGAGTTGACTTAGTCCAGTCCTGTAGCAGCACCTCTCTATCTCCCTCTCTGTTATGATTATAACAAGAAATTAATTACTGATATGAAGAAGTGAATGTTGGGGAGAAACGCCTACCAGATAGTCAAATGATTATCCGTTTTAAGAAATAATTTATTCGGGGAATTTTCCTACCCCGCTCTCTCTTTCTCTGTCTCTAAAAACTGGCCTAGAATAGAATTACAACCGCCAAACTGGCTGACCTTATGTAGTAGGAGTTGGAACTAAAATTGTTGTTTGAAAGGACAAGCAAGTAAACCATCCAACTTAGAAACAAAACACCCAACCACACCAATTTATTTGTTGTATTTGATGACTTAATTGTCGTTGGCATAGATGTCCAGCTTTCACAAACTTATTAAACAAACACTTGTGAATTCTTGAGAAAATTGGTCTTATTCCCTGGACTGGACTACACTGACTCCTAGTTTAGAAATAGGGAGTGAAGTGGTAGAGCACATTGACCGCTTCACTTATTTGGGAAGCTGCATCAGCACCAACGGGTTGATCTCAGACGAAATCTCAGCAAGGATACAGAGGGCTAGTTTCGCATATGCCAGAATACGCCGTCTCTGGCGTAGACGTGATATCCGACTATCGACCAAAGGACGTGTGTACTGCTCAGTAGTCCGCTCCGACCTCCTCTATGGCTGTGAGGCCTGGCCAATGAGAGCGGAAGAAATGAAAAGATTAGCTGTCTTTCATCATAGGTGTCTGCGTTCTGTCTCCCGTGTTATTTGGCGTGGTATAATAAGGTGAGCAATATTGAGGTTAGACGTCGAGTGCTACGTAGGTGGGGGGGGAGATCAATCGACAAGGCTGTGAAATTACATCGACTGAAATGGTTAGGACATGTATTACGTATGCCTAGTCATCGCCTTCCTCGACGGGCAATGTTAGCTGACTGACATAGGGTTAGGCTGGAAAAGAGCTAGCGTCGGTCAAATCAAAAAATGGAACCATACAATAAAATCCACAACAGTTAGTTTAAGCCACATAGGAAGGTATAGACTTCCTGACTGGCTGGGGTCCTCGTGGCGGTAAAAACCAATGGCTGGAGACAATCGGTGATATGGCTCAAAGTCGTTCTCAGTGGCGCAGATGTATACACTCCTTGAGACTTATAATTTCCGATGAGACTATATTGTTCTTCGTTACTACTATTCCTTTGTCTCACACCTCTGTTTACCGTCTATATTATGCATTTCTTCTCTTGCTTTGTGCGCTACATGGAGTGTGGCGACTTCAACTGCCGCATATCGGTGCAAAGTTCTATGTTGAATACAGACAGACAGAGATTCCCTGATAAAGAGAGCGTTAAACACTGTTAATCAGCTACAAATCAAATTACTGATACTAAATCCCTTCTATGCATTGGAAGTAAATAGTAGAATGCTCATCAGTCATATAGAAGGTTCGGCTCCCAACCTCCCTTTTGTCAGTAATAAGTACTTCATATATAAAAATGTAACCTACCTTGTCATCAGTTGCCCTCGTTCAACTCTGAAGACCAGATGACAGTCCGGAAATTATAAGTACCAAATGTGCAGAAGGATATGTAGACTGATGGGAGATAATAGACTGAGAAGACATTTAAGTGATGTCGCATGCCAGGCTCATGAGTGAAACTCAAAAAGGTAGTGACGAGCTGGGCATCTGATTGTAATATTGAGATGATCAATTGAAGTGGAAGCAATAGTTTGAGGGTAATCACGAAACCAGTTGAAAGTGTCAGCAAAGAAATTAGTGGAAAGGATATTTGGTGTTGAAGCCCTACATCCCACTAGAAATACAAGACATTAATAATAATGACAATAGTTGAAGTATTGGTTTGTATGGATTTGATTGATTGGTTACAGGATTTCATCAGAAGTTGACATCGCCTAAGGAATCTGTGACCAGTAGGATACAGCAGATTGGGTGTGAGGACAAAAACTCGCCACCGACGACATTCGTTAGCGTCAGTCGCTCCATATCTTAAATTAAAAGAAATTGGAATTCATAGGGTGGCTATTGAGTCATGTCCCAGTGGTTTAATGGTCTACGAGCTCGCTCGCCTTGTAGCTAGCTGGAAGGTCCTGGATTCGAACCCTGACAGTGGGATGGGTGTATATTGCTGAAGAGTCAGTGTCAAACTAGGCTGACGGAACAGTTGTCCGGTACTCCCTGCTGGTTTTCCAATGGTTCTCCAACCGATGTAAACTCCTGATGAAGTCCTGTAATTAATAATAATAATTATTTAATAATCCTCATTGAGGGACAAATACATAAATCAGTCAAGAAAATTCGTACATTCGTATATCTATGACATACGGAAGGTCCTGGGTTCGAATCCCAGTGGGTGCGTACTGCCGATGATTCCCAAACTAGGATGAAACAGCAGCTGTCCAGTACTCCCTGGTTTTCAATGGTTCTCTAACTGATATCAATCCGTGATCAACTCGTAAAAATATAATAGATAATAACAATCAGTTTCCTTGTGTGTATGTTTGTGTGTGTTGAAGTTTGACAGTGAGGATTATGAGTCACAGCTGTTTAGATATATGCATGAATAACTAAATAAATAGAGGTCAACCTGAAGTTCACTAGATATGTGTGTGAAACAGATGATCGGAGAATAAAGTACATTCGGAAATGTGAATATGTGAGAATAAAGAAGGATAACAAAGTTTGTATGACAATTACATGGTAAATTCAAGACCATGGGGTGGTAACGAAAGAGATCGTACACATTGCTTTTGGGCACAAAGTTCTGACTTTATGTTATGTTATGTATTGCCAAAGCCTCTGCTATACAAAGCAAATGCACTCGTGTCCCTTTCGGCAAACTTTATCGAACTTTGTAAGCTATATTAAACAATGTGTCAGATGCTACTTCGTGGTCACTATGCACACTATGTTGCAATATCGATGAATTAATTTATACCTATACGTTCTCCTTTGATCAGCCAAACTGAGAGGTACTCTCGAACTCGGCGGAGGGATATGTTTCTCGACGAAGTTCTTATGTACCTAACTCCTCAACACCAGGTGAAGATATAAATACACATGGAATTAGACAATTGAGGTAACATTGATATTCCTTGACATTAGAGCTCACCAGTGGACAGCTAGAGTAGGTTGGTTATTCATAAGGTGGCAGCAAAGAACGTTTGTCTCAATGATCTCATCAGACGATTTTTAAGTACCTCACTCACAGTGTCACCCATAAATCCTAAGTTTAGGTGCAACACGTTTTTAGTAACATTGTCGATCTCTGTATTTATTCCACGTAATTTGCTATTTACCTCTAAGAAGCGTAAAGAATATCCGTTCTCTATGGAGGTTTCTTTCAGTTGTTATCATCAACACTATCTCAGCTTCAAATTCTTCAGGTTGACCGCTGTTTATTTATTTAGTTAGTCATTCATATACTTATCTAAGTAGCTGTGACTCATAATACTATGCACCAATATTATCCCACTTTAGTATTAACCCTCACTGTCAAACTTTAACTCACACACACACACACACAATAAAACTGATTGTTATTATCTGTTGTAATTCACAGATATATACGACTGCACAGTTATGACAATGAAGTTGTCCGAAAGAGAATTTTCTTCACTGAATTCTTTCTTAATAATAATAATAATTGAAATTAGTGTCAATCATTCCTTGAATACGCCAATTGTAAATCCAAAAATGCACTGATCAGTGAATTAAGGATATTTTTCTCGATAACACCTAGATCGTCAGGTTCTACACTTATATGTGGGTAGTGGTTAAAGAATAACTGGTATCGACAACATGAATACTTTTTTTAAATAAATTGAATCGTCAGCTTACATCATTTAGAGAACCATTGAAAAACCATCACAGTGTACTGGAGTAACTCATCGAAGAAGACATTGCGAAGTGGTCGCGCTATGTCATGAATTGGCAGAAGTTAGAATT